AACTTTACACCTGCCTGGCCCAATGTCACTTATAAAATGTCCCCCTCCTCCAATCAAGCTTCAACTCAGCCTCTGTTTGTAACTTGGAGTTAGGGAACATGCTCAATGACACCATATGCAGGCAATCAACAAAATCCAGAAGGTAAGAAACTACAGAACAAATGTCCTGGTTTCTCCAAAACATCAATTGCAGAGGTGAGGGTGACCAGAAACACAGATTAAAAGTAAAAAAGAAACAATCAAACAAACACAGTGGTGTGGCCCTTCTCTGGATTTTCTTTTTCTCTTTCTCTCTCTCTCTCTCTTTTTTTAATTTTGACAGGGAGAGAGAGAGAGAGGGTGTGAGCAGGGTAGGGGCGGGGGGGGGGGGGGGAGAAAGCAGCCTCCACATTGTCAGCACAGAGCCCGATGCAGGGCTCAAACGCATGAACCGGGAGATCATGACCTAAGCTGAAATCAAGAGTCAGATGCTTAACCGACTGAGCCACCCACACGCCCCTGGATTTTCATTCAAAAAAAAATTCAGCTGCTAAAATATATATAAATAAAAACAATTTTGGCGGCGGTGGGGGGGGGAACAAACAGGGACTTTCTTTTTCAAACAGGACTATTTCAGTATTGACCAGGTATTTGGTAATATTAGGGAATCAGTGTTGATCTTTAAATCTATGATCCTGAAATTGTTCTTGCATTTCAAATATATATTTATAGACAGAGTAATTTGGTGTCTGGGGATTCCTGCCAAGTTACTCAGGGGGTACATAAGTGGAGAGAAATGAGTTCGATGTCAAGAGATGTGACAAGATGGCCGTTCGTTGGTTAAAGCTGTGTGAGGGGGGCTCCGTGTAGGATCCTCTGCCTTTGTACTTTCCCTGATACAAAGTGGGGAGAAGCAATCCATGGGGGTGGCCCATGCAACCGGAAAGTTCCAGTTCCCCACACACCACACACCACAGTCATAACCCTGCACCTTGGCCCTGGAGCCCCTCCAGCCCCTCCAGCCCACCCACTCTCCTACCCTTCTACCACATTGAGGCCTTTCATCTGGGGGCCTCTCCATTTTCTGCCAGTCTTCAGATACCTTCTGGCTTCATCTCATCTCTGGTCTACAGCCCATGGTTGAGGACTTCAACCTCTCTCTCTCTCCCTTCGACATTGACTGTCTTGCCCTCTTGTCCTCACGTTGTCTCTAGAGGCAAAGCCTATGCCTGGACTCGTCCCATGAGTTCTCTGCTCTCACACTTGCCCTGCAACAGGCTGCCTGGCACATGCCAGTCGGAGGCACAGCACGTCGAGTAAAACTGCGACACCACGGAACACTCCTTCAGCCTGTCCCTGTGTCCTCCACTGGCTGTCTCAAAGCTTCCCCTTTCAGCTCAAAGCCCCAACTCTGCCTCTTCACTCGGCACTCTGAAAACTCTGAAAGGACAATGAGTGTTTCACTAAGAAAGGCAAGACCACCAGATGCGAACTCCGCGAACCTGTGTCCTGGAAACCCCTTCTCCCACCTCTTGAGGGAAGTTAACCACTATTTACCCTCCTCTTAGAATCTTCAACTCTCTGGGGTGCCTGGGTGGCTCAGTCGGTTAAGCTTCTGACTTCAGCTCAGGTCATGATCTCACGGTTTGTGAGTTCAAGCCCCGCGTCGGGCTCTGTACTGACAGCTCACAGCCTGGAGCCTGCTTTGGATTCTGTGTCTCCCTCTCTCACTGTGCCTCCCATGTTCATGCTCTGTCTCTCTCTCTCTCTCTCTCTCAAAAATAAGTAAACTTTAAAAAAATTAAAACAAAAAAGAATCTTGAACTCTTTAATATCCTCAGTGTCTTCTCAACCTCTTTCTCCTTCTGTCTGTCTGTCTGTCTGTCTCTCTTCTGGATTTTTCAATACTTTTCCGATGTCAGGAAAAAAACAAAAAGCTGTCTTTCTAGCTTCCATTTCCTCTTCCTTTTGCTGCCAAACTATTTCTCACCATTCATTCTTCAACCCACTATTTCTAAAATCACCAATGACCTACAGAGTCGATTGCCAGAGTCCAAAGGCATTATTACCCCATCCTGATCTTATGTGGCCTCTTATTGACGTCTACACTAATGGGAGGCACTGGTGAGGTACAGAAGAACTTGGAGCCACCCCTGAGGATACAAACCAAATCCGCATTTGCATTAGCAGTTTACACAGAGACATTTGGAAAAAGTAGGACTGAACAACTGAGACGCATTCAAGCGGTCAGAGATTAATCCCGGGGAGAGATGACTAGACTCTAATTGCAAATTAGTGGTGGCGATCTCTGTTCTCAGGACGACTGCACAGACAGACAGGGCCACTCGGAGTAAAACAAAGCAAACTCCATCCTGTGGTGCTGCCTCCGGAGAAGGAGGGGCCTTGTTGGAAGTTGAAGGAGGCCTTTGCTGCTTCTCAACCACTGGAATGTAAGAAGGAGAATGGATTCGTGTATTACGTGTATAATTAAAAATCAGTTAAAAAGACAGAAGAGGCTAGTGAAAGAAGCCAGACACCAGAGTACATTCTGTGGCGTTCTACTCATACTAAACCCAGAAGAGGCAAACTCATCTATTAAGAAGTGGATCAGAACAGCTGTTATTCTGGGGCCGTACAGACGTGAGGGGGCATGAGAGAACCTTCTGGGTGCTAAAAGCATTCAACATCTTGAATGGCCCGGAGTCGTCACACAGGCGTGCGCCTATGCAAAGCTCAGATTTGTATATTTTACTCTGCGTAAATTATACCCGAATTAGAAATTAAATAGAAAGGTACACATTTTCCAAAATGAAAAAAAAGGGGGGTGGGGTGGAGAAGAAGAGCTGCGTAAAGGGAGCGACCTCCCTAATCCCCCCACGCGGTTAGTGCAGGGAGACTAAGGAATTCAACATTGAGACTGTACGGCTGGGACTCAGCTGTGCACTGGGATCCCAGCTTGAGCAATGGGACTTTGCGATTCCAACTTGACCTCATAGGGGGGGAACGCGCTGATCCACCCATGTGCTCATGGCCGTGTACTTGACACTGGAATGTTTTCACTGTGATTAATCAATTGGCATCCTGGGCTGGAAAGTTCAGTCTCCAGAAACTCAGCGAATAGTTACTAGCACTCCTAGTCTTGAGTCCGACGCCTTCGGAGCACCCATGTGCTATTTTCCTGGCTCCTCGAGGATCCCTTGCCCAGACCACTCAGGAGCCAGCCTGGTGCGGGGGGCCCCCTGACCATGGCCTGCTTTCTCTGTGCTGTTCCAAGAGAGGGGAACGGGTGTGGGTGGGAAGGACGTCTAGAGTGATTCTTAGAAATCGCCACTTCAGCTCTTCTGCCCCTGTCTTTCCACACTGGCTCTCACGGAGTTCTCGTCATGTCTAACCTTACTCACTGCTACTCCCTTCGCTACTTCTTCCCTTTCCCATTCCACTTCCCTTCCCCCCTGCTTGGACTTTTTCAATGGTTCTTCAGGGCTCCCACGTTCAAGTTCAAACCACTAGATTTGGCGGAGATAACAGCTTCGCCTAACTTGCGACTACTGCACCTCCACCCCCACTCCCTGCATACTTTCCACTTCATCCAGTTTGCCAAATTGGTGGCACGCTTGACATTTTGGATGGGGCAATTCTTTATTGTGCAGGACTGGCCTGTGCATTCCAGTAGGTTTAGCGTTCTTGTCTTCTGCCCACTGAATACCTGCGATACCCCACCTTCAGACATTCTGAGAACTAAAATATGCTCCCAGATATTTCCAAACAGCCCCTGCTTTTCCCACTGGGTGGCTCATACTGGCCCTTCATACCTCAGCTCACGTATGGAATCATATACAGTTGCCATCCTCATGGTTCAAGAACACAGAGTGTTGACTATTTAATAGGATTCAACCAAGTATTCTTTCTTTCTGGAAGCTCTCTCTACTGACGCCCTACCGCACTCTGTGCTTCTCCTTATCCAGGTGTTCACACCATGTGTGGTAAGAGCTGATTTTCTTGTCCCCTCCCTCTCAACTCACTGCTCAGCCCTAATTACCTGGGAGCAAAGACCAAGTCCGAACTTAATCTCTCGGTGCCTCAAGCTTCCCTTGACTCAGTACCTGTCACATCATAAGTAATAAACTCATATTTGATGAATAAACAAACAGGATATTGAGCATACTTTCCCTGATGACTCAGTGTTATTATTCCCGGGCATAGAGATGACTTCCAGGCTGACTGAGCCACTTACAGCTTTGGGCTCTACACCAATGACCCTCCGTCGCCCTGCTTTGTGGGTTCGTGGGTTTGGATTTTGCATCAGACCATCAGTGTGCTTGCCTCCCGTGATCCCTTGGGGCCTTTGAAATCTGAGGCAGACTGTCCCAAGTGCTGTGTCCAGGCACTCCATGAACTTTGCCCCCTGAACATCGCAATAATAACCACTCTGGTTCAGGACCCTTTTGTCCTATGGCTGGGTTCTTGCTAGGTTTCACGCCCCGGAAGTTCTCTTCTGCTTAGTGAGGCAATCAGTTTCTAGAACCCTCTCCATAGTCATTTTCTTTTTGGAAACTGCTTGGAGACGACCCAGGAGGACTTTTGAAATACAGAAATGTTTCAGTGCTGAAGTGCCCATTCCGAGGCCCCTAGATGGACAAAGGAATTTCTCAGGGTGTTTTCGAAGTAGTTGTTACATCCCTGTAGTCTCAAAGTTTATGGGTACACTTTTTTATTTTCAAAAGTTTTACATCAGTAAACACTGAGCTATAGATCTCAGATTTAGGATTTTTCTAATGTTTGGTTTGGATGACTTTGAATAAAAAAATAAAATAAAGCACCTTTTCATTATAATTCATATAGAATGAAAGCCAGGACCATGAGAAACAGAGTTAAGAAGAACAACCAGGCAGGAGTAAGTGGGGAAATACGATTCCTCCTCACCCCCAATTTTGGTATTTACCATGCCTTTAAATGTTTTAAAAATATTTTAATATATATCTTAGTAAGTGTTATATAACTCTATCAACAAATAATTTTTATTTCATTCTTTTATTTTCAATATTTATTGTTAATCATCATTTTTCTCTTTTACAGGTTAATTACAACAGTTTAAGGAACAAAACTATGTAGACAGAAGAATGTTAAATAGTTTTTTTACAAATAGCTTGCAGCTTACAAGAAAGGCTATATAACCTCATTCCTCTACACATTCATACTAAACCAAATAGTTTATAGGAAATTAGTATTAAATAGCAACACACACACACACACACACAAACATAGATATAAATAACATAAAATAGAGTTTGACTCTAACGTGATGCTTAACAAAGCAAACTATGATGCAATATGTATCAACTTCATCAATTGGACAAGTCCAAGGAGGCACCAATCAGGTAAGTGCTAAACTCTCAACTGCCAACTCCAGCTAGATTCTTTTGTTCTTGGGCTCTGTCCAATTCCTTAGCAGAGAGCATCAGTTTTCACATCTTCTTGACTCTTTGGCTGTCAAGAGGAAGAGAAGAAAACAATAAGCAAAGACAGGATGGACTGGCTGGTAGGAGTGCCTTTTGCACCTAAACATTACTTCTCATTAATCTCAGGGCGCCAGCGGCTCAGAGTCCAGATGAGGAAATCAAGGTTCAGAGAGGAAGGGCCCTGCCCAACACAAGTGAGCTGGCTAGAGATGGAAACAGGATTGAGCGCTTAGGTTGCATCTTTAAATTCAGTGTCTATGGCACCTTTGGATTAGGTGGCTTCTGTTCATGTTGATAAAATGTTACTCTCCATTATCATCAATGGAAATCAGAATATTGATCTCTGGTTGGCTCTTTATTTTTTAGTTTTTAACAAAGAAGTATCATGCGGTCTGTAAATTCTATAAATGGGAGGCATCTTTGCACCAAAATGAAGAAGCTTGTGACTATTAAATGCACGGAGGACTAACACATCTCGTAAAACTCACTAAATTAAAAAATAAATAAAAAAGATGTTAAGTGGGAAAAAATGAATTTTTGTTTTATGGTCCAACTCAAATTTCCCTTTTAAAATTCTACAGTGCTGGGGCGCCTGGGTGGTGCAGTCGGTTAAGCGTCCGGCTTCAGCCAGGTCACGATCTCGCGGTCCGTGAGTTCGAGCCCCGCGTCAGGCTCTGGGCTGACGGCTCAGCGCCTGGAGCCTGTTTCCGATTCTGTGTCTCCCTCTCTCTCTGCCCCTCCCCCATTCATGCTCTGTCTCTCTCTGTCCCAAAAATAAATAAACGTTGAAAAATAAAATAAAATTCTACAGTGCTTAGGCGGAAGGGTCCCAGCGAGTCTATGATCCACTACTCTGCACTTGACCTTTGCCCCAGACATTTGGAGAGGGACTGAGGGCAAATATCTCATACCTGAGGATATGCACAGCCTGTTTCACCCAGTTCTTCTTTGGATCTGCGCACACAGCGAATTTTTTCTTTGTGTAAAAGCTATAAAAAACAAACAAACAAAAAAAACACAGAACATTTTATTTGTGCTTCAAAAGTTTTGAACGGCTATGTCATAGAACACCCAATGGAAATTTTGTATTCCAGCTGACTGCTCTACCCACTAAGCATTTTAGTTTTTTCAGAGGTGAAACAAAATACCAAAAAAATATATATTTCTGATAAAGCTTGATGCAAGAATGAAAGGGACTCTCTCCTACTTTCTCTGCAACTGAACAAATGGTTGAACCATGGCTGTAAAATAGTCTTAGAATGATTTAATTTTGTTGCCGGTGGTTACACTAAACATGAGTATATCTGACTAATTTATATCATTCCGAAGTATAATATCCTATATGAATCAAGAATATTATATGTGAAAATATAAAAGCCCCAACCATTCCCTGGTGGAAGATGCTCATTTCCAAATCGATGTCTTCCATATTTTCATGAGCTAACGCGTTAGGTGCTTAGAAGTTTATCTTAGAAAGCGGTTTTTGCCCTCGACTCTGTTCTTTTTCTAAAAAAACCAAGCTTTCACCTTAGTCCTGTCCTATTTAAACTTTGAAGTACATATGCCCTATCAAAACAAACATATCTTTGCCACATCGGTTATTTCTGAATGCAACTCCAAAAAAGGCAAACATGTTTTGAGAGTCAATTGATACAATTGAATTCAAGTCAGTTGATAACTTACATGATTGCATTGATATCACAGGCTTCATTGGACAGCTGCTGCGTGAAGCCCACGATAAATCTGGGATGAAGGATGCGTTCTGTATACCGAAGGCAGCAGTCAAAGCTGCTTGCTGCTAAAAAGAAATTGCAAGTATTGAGTCCACATGAATGAACGCGTCTTGTGATAGTTTTACAGAACTACTTGGAGTTGGAGTTGGAGATGCTAAATAAACTATTTAGAGAAAGAGTTCCAATGGCTTTGAGACCTGATTTAAGGTAGCTCCCAGCTCTCTTTAAAAAAAAAAAATGGTTTATGTGCTGGGCAATTTTGGTTCGAAAGTCTAGAAGCACGTGATCTCCAACGAAAGGAATATCTTTACTAAGAAACACAAATGGACAGTGTTTTATTTTAAGTTCACTATAATCACTCAAGAATATGAGTACCTCCCACTTGAAGAAACTCTTATAGATAAGCTTCCAAATTCAGAAAATGAAGAAGTATGGAGATCTTAATCTATTGTCTGGCCACTGGGTACTAAGAGGAGGGGAACGGCAAGAAGTTATAAAGGAAAATGTGATTTATCGGAGCTGCTTATCCGGGCTGCAATTGAAATTGTAATATTAATGGAAATATTTTAATTTAATTTATTATTTTAATGTTTTATTTTGATCATAAAAGTTCAACACGTGCATTTTCAGGGATGCACCTGTCATTAGACGTCATGTGCTCTGACAGTCATAAAGCAATTCTTGAACATCCCCCCCCCCCAGGTTAAATTATAACCTGCTATACGGTAAGGAATAAATGTTGTCTCCAAGTTGGCAAAAGATGGCCCCAAAGCCACGTAAGGACGGAGAAGACAGGTCCCATCATCTGCCCCTAAAGGGTGAGTTTGGATCTTGACTATTTAGCTGAGAGGTGAGAAAGTTGGGAAGGTGGGAGTGTTCTCCACATTTCTGAATTGACCCCATTTACTGGTAGTGTTACCCAATTTACATCACTCCCAGAAATAGCACTTTGGCCTTGTTGCAGAGCTTGGGGGTCTCTAAGAGCCCACCCACCCACCTCCAAATCTGCTGGGATTGCCAGCAGAGAGAAAAGCCCGGTCAGCAGCAGCAACCTTTCCCTCCTCACTCACCAATGAGCTGACAACTCCCATCACTTCTGAAGACTTTCTAACAGGCTCCCATTCTTGGGGACCCCCGGGTGAACTCAAGGCTTAGCGGAAAATGAAAATAGTTCTTCCTCCTGCGTTAGCAGAAAGAGTGATACTCACCTTCTGACTTGCTGCACAGGTGGAGTAGCAGCACTGACATCAAAGCAGCCACGAGCAAATTCTTGCCACTGTCCATCATTTTCAGCTCAGGGAATAGATCTGCCCAGTGCTGGGTACCCAGTGTGCTAGGAGTGCTGCTGGGTTCTGGTAGCAGCCTGGGTCTGGGATGGCCCTACTTATAGCAAATATTGGGAATGTACACAGAAGGCGTGTTCTAACGTGGGTTTTCCCCCATTGATCAACCTGCCCCATCATGTCGTCACAAAAAAATAACCACAGGGAAAACTTCCTGCCTTTCCCTAATGTTGGGAAGCTGTGAAGGTCAGAGGAGGGGGGCGGCGTTTGAGAAGGGGGAAATCCTGCTAAATCCTTTGGATTTGCAAAGAGGGAAAAGCTGCCCAGCCCTGTGGCTCAGGAAAGGTTTTCATGCAGTTTCAACTTAATGCCTCGTCTCTGAAAAGAGAGGACAAGGATTAACAATGATACAAAGGTCAGTCTTACACCTGGACGTTATAGGACTCTATTGTTCACACTGTATTTGCTTTCCAGAGTCAACTGGGAGCAAGAGGATGAGACAGGACGCCAGGCATGCTTGGGGACACATTTCCAATTGAATAGTTGGTGCTCAGCTATCCCCGAAGACCTTGTATTTCCAAACTACCACTCAGATTAGGTAATATGACAGTGGTGTAGTAGTTTTCCCAATTTTGGCAGAAGATACCAGACCTCAAGTGTGACTCAAGCCTCAATCTTGATGCCATGCCAATTCTTCTAAGAATCTTCTACATTTATATGACTAATCAATATCGCAGCCCAGAAAATACTCCCCGTCTGCTCTTAACTCTTCATGCAGATGTAGTTTTATAACTCAATACAAAGTCTCAGAAGAGTTGAAGAATAAAGACAATTCACAAAATAAATGTCAAATAATAGTGATAATGATTGGGGCGCCTGGGTGGCTCAGTCGGTTGAGCGTTCGACTTCGGCTCAGGTCATGATCTCGCAGTCCATGAGTTCGAGCCCCATGTCGGGCTGTGTGAGGACGGCTCAGATGCTGGAGCCTGCTTCGGATTCTGTGTCTCCCTCTCTCTCTGCCCCTCCCCCGCTCATGCTCTGTCTCTCTCTCTCTGTCAAAAATAAACAAATATTAAAAAATTTAAAAAAAAATAATAGGGATAATGATAATAATGTAAAATGAATCCCTGACCTATGATGGTATAATAAGAACTCTCCACAAGGGAGAATATCATTGTATGTTAGGGATTAGGTTTGTAGGAAGGGAGTTTTTGGAGATAATGGAGTTATTTTCTATCCTATCACAGGCATGGTTACACATATCTACATGTATGTTAAAATTCCTAGAACTGTACATCCAGAGAAAAAAATGAATAGTATTGTATGATTATTTAAAAAAATAAATTTAAAAAACCCTGAAATCATTAAACAAAAACTATCCACTAAACACAAATATGTTGAAAGTAAATAGGTCAATTGACAGGATCGTATGGTTCTTATCTTTTCTTTTATTAATGTGATGTATCACATTGATTGATTTGCGAATGTTGGACCAGCCCTGCAGCCCAGGAATGAATCCCACTTGATCGTGGTGAATAATTCTTTTTAATATGGCCTTTTGCAGCAACGTGGATGGAACTGGAGAGTGTTATGCCGAGTGAAATAAGTCATACAGAGAAAGACAGATACCATACGTTTTCACACTTATGTGGATCCTGAGAAACTTAACAGAAGACCATGGGGGAGGGGAAGGGAAAAAAAAAAGTTAGAGAGGGAGGGAGGCAAACCATAAGAGACTCTTAAAAACTGAGGATAAACTGAGGGTTGATGCAGGGTGGGAGGGAGGGGAAAGTGGGTGATGGGCATTGAGGAGGGCACCTGTTGGGATAAGCACTGGGTGTTGTATGGAAACCAATTTGGCAATAAATTTCATATTAACAAAAAAGAAAGTAAATAGGTCAAAAAAAGATATACCATGTAAACAGTAAAAAAAAAAAAAAGCTGGAGTTGCTATGCTTATATCTGACAAAATAAATTTTACAACAAAAATTGTTACTAGAGATAAAGAGGGGGTTCCATTATAATAAAGGATAAATTCATCAGGAAGATACAAGATTTATGATCATATATATACCTAACAATAACCCCTGAAAATATATGAAGCAAAACTGACAGAATGGAATGGAGGAATAAACAATTCAACAATAAAAATTGGATACTTCAATACCACATTTTCAATAATGAATAGAAAAACTAGATAGAAAAGCCACCAGACCTAACAGATATCTATAGAACACTACACCCTACAATAGAATAGGCATCCACCCTTCTTAAGTGCACCTAAAACATTCTCCAGAATAAATCACATGCAAGGCCAGAGGACAAGTCCTAATAAATTTGAAAGGATTGAGATCACACAAAGTATGTTTTCAAAACACAGTGGAATTAAATTAGAATCAATAACAGAAGGAACTTTGGGAAATTTACAGTGATATGGGGATATTAAATGTTACACTCTTATATAACCAATGTGTCAAAGAGGAAATCATAAGGAAAGTAGAAAATACTTTGACATGAATGAAAGCGGAAACACAAGCATACCAAAATTCATGTGGTGCAGCGAAAGCACTGCTCAGAGGGAAACTTACAGCAAGGATACATGGAAATAATAGTAAAACAATAGAGGAAATGGGTGGAACTAAAAGTTGGTTCTTGGAAGAGGTCAACAACATTAACAACCTTTAACTAGACTAACCAAGAAAAAGCAGGGGAAGGGGGTGTGGGCCCTGAGAGACAAATTGCTAAACTCAAGAATGTAAGAGAGGTCATCACTACCAACTGTAAGAAAGAAAAATGACTATGAACAACTGTACGCAATAAGTTAGATAGTATAGATAAAAGGGACAAATGAGTAGAAAGATACAACGTCCTGAAACTGACTCAAGTAAACATAAAAAGCTCAAAAAGCCCAACAACAAACAAAGATATCAAATTGGTAACTAAAAATATTTCCATAAAGAAAAGCCAAGTAAATTCTACCAAATATTCAAAGAAAAATTGAAGCTAATTCTTTCAGAAACGTTTCCAATAAGTAGAAAAGGAGATAACAATTTCTAACTCATTCTATGAGGACAGTATCACACTGATATTAAAGTAAGATAAAGACATCACAAGAAAATAAAACTATAGGCCAACAGCCTTAATCAATACAGACACACAAAAATACTCAACGAAACATTAGTAATCTATATCCAGACATATATACAAAGGACCACGCACCATAACCAAGCGGGACTTATCTCATGAAATGGCATACATAATATTAACTAAATTTAAAAGAAGTATGAAGGGCATTTAATAAAACCCACCACCCTATCATAATAAAAACAGTCAACAAACTAGGCAGAGTAAAGAACTTCCTCAACCTGTTAAAGGTCATCGATGAAAATCCCACAGCTAATCATACCTACTGTCGAAAGACTGAATGCTTTCCTCCTGAGATCAGGCCCCAGACAAGGATGTCTATTCTCACCAATTCTATTCAACATTGTGCTGGAGATTCTAGCCAGGGCATCTGTACAACAAAAGGAGGAAGACACCCAGATTGGAGAGGAAGTAGCAGCTATCTTAATTTGCAGATGACATTATCTTATATATGGAAAATCTTAAAGAACCCACTAAAAAAAAAAAACAAACTATTAGAACTGATAAGGTCAGCAAGGTTGCAAGATTCAAGGTCAACATACAAAACTCAATTGTATCTCTACACACTATCAGTGTTCACTGATAATAATGTGCACCTGAAAATACAATTAAGAAAACAGTTACTTCTACAATAGCATCAAAAACAAAAACAAAGACAAAATACCTAGGTGTTAGTTTCACAAAAGATGTGGAAAATGAAACTAAAACTACAAACTATTATTAAAGAAATGAAGGAAGACTTCTAAATAAAGAGAAAGACATCCTCCGTCATAAATCAGACAGACTTGGCATTGTTAAGATGGCACCACCCACCCACCCCCAAAACTGATCTTCAGATTCAACATAATTCCTACCAAAATTCCAGCTGGCTTAGTTGCAGAAATGGAAAAGCCAATACTCAAATTCATATAGAATTACAAGAGATCCCAAATATTCAGAACAAACCCAACAAAGAAACGGAAGAACAAAGTCGGAAGACCTACGGTTCCTGATTCCAAACTTACTACACAACTACAGTCATCAAGGCATGTGATACTGGCATAAGTGTAGACATGTAGATCAGTGGAATAGGACTGAGAGCCCAGTTAGAAGCCCCCTTGTATAATCAACTGATTTTTTTTCATTGCGGTGCCAAGACCATTCAGTGGAGGAAAGAAAAATCTTTTCAACAAATGGTGCTGGGACAACTGGATATCCACATGCACAAAAATGATGAGAACCCTCTACCTCGCACCATGCGCAAAAATGAACTCAACATGGATCACGTACCTAAATATAAGAGCTAAAACAATGAAACTCTTAGAGGAAAATATAGGAGTAAGTCTTCATGACCTTGGCAATGGTTTTTTACAGACATAACACCAAAAGCTCAAGCAACAAAATAAAAAACAAATAAACTGGAGTATATAAAAATGATAAACTTTTGGGCTTCGAAGGTTATTACAAAAATGTCAAAAAATAACCCACAAAAAGGCATGAAATAATTTTCAACTCGTATATCTGATAAGTGACTTTTCCTTGTATCCAGAATATATGAAGAACTCTTGTAAATCAGTAATAAAAAGATAACCAACTCAATTTAAGAATGGACAAAATATCTGAATAGACATTTCTCCAAAGAGATGTAAATGACCAACAACACATGCAAAGATCATCAAAGTCATTAGTCATTAGGGAAGGTAAATCAAAACCACAATAACATATCACTTCACACCCATGAGAATGGCTATAATCGAAAAAGATGGCTAAGACATATTGACAATGACATAGAGAAATTGGAACCCTTATATGCTGTTGATGAAATGAGAAATGATGTGGTCCCTTTGAAAAATAGTTTGACAGTTCCTCAAATGGTTAACCATAGATGATTCTGCAATTCTACTTCTAGGTATACACCCAAGATAAGTGATAACATA